CAGTGGTATAGAGGGCAGGGGCTGAGGGGCATTGCACGCTCGGAGGTACCTGAGGAAGACAGTGTGGAGTGGGCCCCCGGGGACTGTGGGGGAGGCGTTCAGACCACGCCTGGGCCTGGGAAGGCACCTGGCATGATGAAAGCACACGGGGAGGGCGGGCAGGTAGGCTGACAGCAAGATCTCCTTGCAGACACTGAAAGCAAAGCATGCGGCCCTGACAGAGGGCCCCGAGCTGCACAGAGCGAACCGTCCACTCCCAAGCAGGAGACGCTGATCCTGGAAGATGCCCAGCCGGGAAGCCCTTCAGCCACCGGGACAGACCAGGCTTCTCTGGATGAGCCGCTGTCCTCAGAGACCCGCTCGGACGATACAGGTATTGGCCGGAGACCGTTGGGGTTGTGCTGCTCCCGGGTAGCCATCAGCCTGGGTGGCAACTGGGGTCCCGGCCAGGGCCTGGGCAGCAGCTCCGGCAGGAGACTGTCCTCAGGGGCACGGCTACGCCCGGGCCGCGAGCTGTGCCGCGCGCAGCCATGCGGTGGGGTTTCAGTGTCTGCAGGAGCATTTTTCTCCTGTATTCCCAAGTTCGGCACAGCCAGTCAATGAAGATGCTTACAGATGCGCACAGGTGCCCCTCCCCCATATACCTTCCTCCCCAGATACCTTTGCTTGTTCACTGGGAACTTCTGAGCAGAAAATTCTCCCTCAAGGAGCCAGTGTCCAGTGGGAGCGTCTTAGCTGACCCCAAGACCATTGGGCAGGAAGGAGGGAGAGGGACCTTCCCAGAGACCTAAGTCCCACAGCAGTGGCTGCCTCCCCTGGAGGGCGTAGCCTCATTCCCTGAGCTGGTGCTTCAGTGTCTGCCGCACGGCGCCCTGGCGTGGTGGGTGCTGGTGAAGGCGCAGCTGCCGTGCTCCTTCCGTGGGAGGGCGCTTGTCGCCGCTTCTCTGCCAGGCATGCTGGGTGCACTGCTCCAAGCCTCCTTTGTCCCCTCTGTTAAAAGGGACAAACAATGGGGACTATGTTTTCGGAGGGTGGGAGGAGCTTAGCACAGTGTCTGCCACATTAATTGTCAGTGGGGCTGTGATGTTGCAGTCGTCATCGGTAGTGGTCGGTGGTGGTGATTATTTTAACTGAATAGACCAGGACAGTTGCCAGCTGTGGGGAAGTGGAGAAAAAAAGGAGGGTGGAGAGGAAGAAAAGCATGACCCAGCAAAGAAACCTGGGGGTGCTTAGAGATACCCCCGCCTTGCACCCTGACCTGTTAGCAGCGTTTCTAGAGAAGTCTTCCTGGAGACCTCACTGTCGAGCTGGAAGCCTGTTCCCTAGTACGACTGCAGCTGTCAGTTTGCCAGGCATGGTGTGCGGCCTGGAGCTCGAACTGTGTCCACAAGAGTAGGAGGCTGGAGAGCCAGTCCGTGAGGATGGGTCTGCTGGGGCTCCTGTGGCCGACTGTGCCTGGGCTTCACAGCCAGTAGGCGTCTGTCCTCTGCTGCCTCCTCTGCCAAACAAGTCTCACCTGTGCTGCTCTCTGCAGCCGCTGTGCACAGCATCCCTCCAGCATTTACAGGCACCTGCCAAGAGCGGGTGGCTGTGCCTTTCCGGTTTCCCTCCGACTGGGGGACGCAATAGGAGTTTGGGGTCTGAAGAGTTGTGGCCCTTGGGGTGGCCCTGGCCTCTCCCACAGAGGCCCTCTTGGCACACCCGTGTCCCGCTGTCCCCCAGGCATCACACTTCAGTCGGGGGAGGTTGGCACGATTCTGATGGCCTGGCGAAGCATCTTCCACCTGTGTCCTTGCAGCTGAGTGCTGCCCTTGGCCACTGAGCCTGCGCTCTGCTGGGGAGCTGCCCGGCCTCCTGCTGGTGCCTGGCGCCTCTCTCTGGCAGATCTTTTCTGCTTGCTCAGCCCCGAGCAGCGTGCCTGCTCTCGACACCCATCTAACATCAGGCGAGCTCTCTATCCAGATGCTTTGGGGACGGATTTGAGAGCAGGCTTGGTTTGTGGAGAGCATACGTTTGTATGAAGGACGTTTCTGTGGGTGGGATGTGCTGTTGAGTCTGGGGGTCACAATGGTTAAAGTGCCTGGGCCTTATCCTCCCAGAGTGATGGAAGAAGGTGGGCTTCAGTGACTTCTGTTCCTAGACCTGAGCCCTACACTGGGGTTTGTATGCAACAGAAGAGCCTCTGCTGAGCGTTCGGTGGGTGAGAAGCGACCTCTGCTGGTCAGGTCAGGACAAGGACAGCCCCGAGGGAGGGATCCCAAATTCAGGGAACTTGCAAAGCTGACGTTGTCTTCTTTTTTTTCTTTAATTCGATTATAACATTTGGGACTTGAATGGATGTTAAAGTTTCCATTTCTACAAGATTCCAAACTATTGTATAATGGTAGCTACACACAACTCATGTGAGATGCAGAGAAAGATGGAGGCTTAGAAAGGAGACGTTGCAAACCAGCACCCCAGCCTGTGGACCCCTCAGATAGGTCAGGGACACGAGGGGGTGATTGTGTGATGAGCATAGATCGGTTTTATGAGAGAATTTGGAGGATAGTTTTGGAGCGAGTTGCTGGTGTGTTGAGTTCCAGCATCTTAAGATGGGGGAATCCACGTTCCACCTTGGGCTAGGGGGGTGGAGGGACCGCTGTGGGGCTGTTAGAACTTTGCCCTGTGATTTCTCTGTGAGGGGGTGTGAGCCATGACCACTAACTCAGTCCCAGAGCTGTCCTGTGCTGTTGGCACCAGCTACATGGCTATTTCAATTAATTAAAACTAAGTGAAGGTTAAGTTCAGCTCCCAGTCACACCAGCCATTTGCCAGGTGCTCACTGGCCACATGGGGCTGGTGGCTGCTGTACTGGGCACCTATCATTTCAGAAAGGTCCTTTGGGCAGCACTGTGGGTGAGAGGGGCACAGCAAGGGGGGCCTTTGCTGTTTGGATTGGCCAGTCCTTCCAGAGTTTCCTCTACCAACAGAGACCCTGCGACCCACAAAGCCAGAGCCCCTTACAGAAAACGTTTGCCGACCTCTGGTTTGGAGAATGGATTTGGGGCAGAGTGGCAGTGAAGGCTGCCAGGAGGCTGCTGCTGGGTTCCAGGCAGAGGCCATGGCAGCTGACACTGGGAGGACAAGTGGGCGTTTCTGAGAAATAGTTTGGAAGCAGAGCACACAGTGTCTATTTGTGAGCTAAGACAAGAGGGCAGAGCACAAGGTGGAGAGGACAAGAGAGGGACCGAGTGTCGTGTCCGGCCTGGCTGGCAGCTGGAGGCAGGTGGGCTGAGTAGCAGGCCCGGCGAAGGCTCTGCGTTAGTGGACGCCATGTCCTCAGCCCCTAGAAAGGTGCCTGGGCCACTACTAGGCAGTTGCTCAAGGACATTTTTCAGATGGATGGATAGATGGATTAGTAAAAGAGAAGGGGTTACTTATTGGACATCAAGGGACGGGTTGGGTTGGGTTTCATTTTGCCTATTTGACTTCGGATGGCAATGAAAAGTGGCCAATTGTGAAAGAGTCTGGAGCTCTGAGGGGAGGTCAAGGGTCGGCGAGAGATGGGATTGATTCTGAAGCCAAAGGACTGGATGGGATCAGCCAGTGAGAGAGCGAGATGGAGAAGAGGACCGCGAGCTGGGTCCCGGGTCCTGGGGCCGCCCAGGTGGGGCCTGTGAGAGGCTGAGCAGGTGTGGCCAGCATGGCAGGAGGAAACCAGGGCAGAACCTGGAGAATGTGGTGTCCAGATGCCAAGAGGGAAGTGTTAGAGATACAGACACTGAAGGGCTGTGCTGAGACAGACCCAAGGGTGGGGACACTGACCCTGGGCTGCTATGTCCCCTGTTATCCCGTCCCTCGGTGACACTTCCAGGGAACCATGGAGTCCAGTTGAAACACCACTTGCCTTGTCCAAACTCCTGGGTCCATGGCAGGAGACTGAGGCCCACGTCCATGTTTCCATGGTGGGAGGACCCAGGCGAGTGCTGGGACAGCGTGTCACAGCCGGGGCTCTCACCCTGGGCCTTCACCAGGCGGGCACCACAGTGCTTCCCTTCAGAAATCTATGTCAAGCAGTGGTTCTCAGCCGTGGGCACCTTGTCCCCACCCCAGGGCGCAGTGGGCAGTGTCTGGAGACATTTTTGGCAGTCACAACTGGGAAGATGACTGGCGTCTTGTAGACAGAGGTGAGGGAGGCTGCCAAACACCTCCGAGGGCAGCCCCTGACAACAGAGTGATCTGGCCCAGCGTGTCGGCCGTGTACGGCTGAGAACCCCTGACCTGGAATGTGACGGAGACCCGTCTGTGTGCCGTAATCATCCTTCTATCTCTGGCAGGATGGCCCCTCAGCGGCCAAAGTCAGATGAACGTTGCGATGCTCCAACACACCTTTCCTTCTGACCTCGTGTAAGCGCCCCCGCCATCGCGGTGGGCAGGATCGGATTCCATACACACGTCTGCACAGATGAGGGGGCCAGGGCTCAGGGAGGTGGAGACCAGGTCACCTGTCTGGAAATGAGTCAGACACAGACACAGCAGAGGAAGGGGGATGGTTGTGGGAGAAGGGCGTGCTTCCGGCCAGGCGAGCGGTTCCTGTGCCAGCTCTCTCTCCCGAAACCATGATTTAGAAACACGCTGAATGTCTGGGGACAGGAACTGAGCCTGATGGGGTCCCATGAGCTCAAGCCAGCCCTATGCCTGTGCTTCCTGCCGAGGGCCTGGGCTGTGGAGCCGTGTCCCGAGGATCAGTGTCACTGCCTTATTTACACGAGACAGGAAACCCGAAGACGTCATAGGACTGCTGCCCACATGGAGAAAAAGAACATTTCCTTGCTCACCTGTGGCTTAACAAGGAAAGCACACAACTGTTTTTACCTAGAAGGCGTAAAATGTTTATTTCAATGTTATTGTTAGTACACAACTTAAGTGAAACAATCAGAATTGTAGATTCTTAGAAGTTATCGGTTACAGGTCATAGGACATCACACTAGTCTTGAAGTCTGGGAGTCTAAAAAACTATTGACAACTAACACTTGAGAACAGTTTTATAAGTAGTGGTAATAATAATAATGGTAATAATAATTAAAAACGGACTTATCGTGTGGGTATCCGTGCACGACAGGATACTATAATGTGAGGTAAGGAGCATAGTGCAATGCTTCTCAGTTCAGACCAACTTCATGCTACAGAGCTGAGTCTGCCTCCTGCAGAGGGTCGGGGAGGGGGATTTTCTTTCTCAGATTTTGCTCAGCAGGGATTGGGAAGGCCAGCCCTTCTAAGAAAAAAAGACTACATTTCCGTGAGCTTCACAGGAGAAAGGGCCTAGCCTGAGAGATTTTTCAACTTTCAACACGGACAGTAAAAGAGCAGAAATGGTGCCCGCTCGCCGGGGCACATGGGGAATGCCGCGTTTGCTTCTGAGGTTTCAGTGGACACTCCCTAAGGGCAGGGCCCCGCCTGCCTCAGCCAGCACCTTGTTTTCAGCACCGCGGACAGCGCCCTGCCATGGTGAGCCCGCCCGGGTGCCACATCCCCTGATGGGTGGATGAGTCCCCCACAGTGACTTTTGGACCAGCTCTCTGGAGCTGTTCCCTGAGGGTTAGTATCTTCCTCCTCAGGTGGCTGTGCACCTGGGGTGTAGCCTGAGAGGGCAGGGGGTGCTGGGGTCCCAAGGAGGGGATGGGAGGCTGCCTCTCGTGTCAGGGAAGAAGGAAGGAAGGAAGGGGCCATTGGGACAGTGGGTTTGTGTCTGGGTCAGAAATGAGGGGACACCCCTGTCTGATAGCCTCGGTTTCCCCTGTAAAGCTGCTGGTGAGGCTGCATGGGGGAAGGGAGGCGGGAGGGAGACAATGAAGGTAGGAAAGAACCAAGAAATGTTTGAAGCAGAGTGACTGCAGGACGGAGGCAGAGAGGACCATGGAAGGTGGTGGTCCTGCGATGGCCGGGACTGGGCTTCTGTGTCGCCCCAGTTTTCCTGCAGCTCTCGGCACAGGTGGGAACTAGTGGGTCAAGGCTTCAGCCAGAGATGGGGTTTCTGAGCGTTAAATGTAAAGGAAGTGAAGCGGAGGACTTGGCGGGGGGAATGGGTGTGGGTGAGGTTGCTGCTGTGATGGACAGTGGACCTTGTGCTGGATAAAGAGAAAAGTGGGGGAGGAGATTGTTGATGGAGTGGAAGAAAGCAGAGGGGTAGACGGGCTGGAGGGTGGTGCTCAGGGGAGTGGAGGGGCAGCTCTTGGGGGGCCTGAGCCAGCAGCTGGAAGGAGAGGGGACGGGGGCTCCGGGTGGGCTGATCCTTCCTCAAAGCCTAACCTCCCTGCCCCTCCCCACCACGCATCTGGCCGGCATGCCAGGGCACGGGGCTGCTGCAAACTGGATGTGTCAAGTCAATAGCTGCTGAGTTTGGGGTCTGCAGTGGGCCAGGCAGGCACACATTTCATTGTACTTCTTGTTTAAGCTTCAAGCCTGGGAAGGACTCTGGTCGCTAGTCCAGTGTCACGCGTGGGTAAATGGAGGCACAGAGAGGTTGAGTCACTTACCCAAGGTCACGGAGTCCGTGCGAGGGCCGACTGGAGCCCAGGTGCATCAGATTCCAAAACCTGTGATCATGAACCCCACCCCCAGGCAAAACAGGAGCTTTGGCACCACCTGTTGGGTGAAAAAAGGGATGGAACCACTCAAGCTCTTGAAATGATTCTCCCCCTACCTTCCTTCTCCTCTCTCTGCCCCTGATGGATGAATGGAAGGAAGGACGTTCTATCGATCTTTGAACTCACAGGAAGTCACGTCTGTATGTGCAGTGACCCTTTCGCGTTCTGCTCGTTGTTAACACCCACCCCCGCCCCCACCCCCCTTTCTCTCCTCGCTCACGTCCACCCCAATCAGAGGAGCCGTGGTTTGTGAACACTCTGTTTTGTCTTGGAACCAGCCACATGCAGAGGTGAAGAAGCAGACGCCGCCGGCAGCCTTCCGCCCACCACGGACGAGTCCTCTCAAGCCTTAGCTGGGCCCGACGCCCTGGACAGCCCTCCCAGAACCCTGGAGAGATCCGTGGGAAAGCTCCCCAGCCCCCCGCTGCTGCCCACCCCACCGCCCAAGGCAGGCGCCAAAGCCACGAAAAATGTCACAGGTGGGTCCGCACACATCACCCTTCCTTCCACTCATCCACCAATGCGTCAGCCAGTCCTGATGGGGCTCCCGCTGTGGAACAGCTAGTTCACCCTCTTTGCTTCTGTGACTTGGGCTTCGGACAGGTGCATGAGGGCTGTTCTTAGCGAGGACCACTGGTCGTCAGACCACTGAGGCTCCCTCAAGGAGACACAGCCCGTCCCCAGGATGAGGACCTTCTCTCTGTCTGGGTGTCTAGCTGTCCTCCTATTTCTGCTTCTCTCTCTCTCTCCCCTCCTTCCCTTCCTCTCTCAGCCTCTCACCACCTCTCTACTCATCTGCATTTCACCAATTCCTTCTCCAGAGAGTTCTGTCCAGCAAGGCGGAGCCAGGAGTCAACACCAGACTGTAGGGCGGTAGTCAGAGAGGGGCGCATGGCTGGGCAGAGGCCCCAAAGCCTCCCACTTCTGTAGCTCTGTCTACGTTGCCTGAAAAATCCCAGGAAGTTGGGACCTTTACTTTCCAAGCCTGCGTATCTCTTGTCCTGTCATTGATGGAAACTGGAGACACTGCTAGTCTTGGGGGAAAAGCAGGCCCTTCACCAAGAGGTTCTTTTTTTGAGAATAAGCCCTGGCACGCTGCCTTTGAGGGTGTGAAGGTGACAATGGACAGCAGAGTGACGCAGCTCCGTCCCAAGCCCTTGACCACTACCCAGAAGACGACGACTTAACGCCTTGTCAGTGTGCTCCAGCCCCAGCCACTCCAAGGAGGCCCCGGTCCACACGACCCATTCAGAGTCCATGTGTTGGCCTCTGGGGACAAGGGGACATGTGCCCAATTGGCAGTGGAGGAAACGGAGGCTCAGCAGGCTCCGGCAACTTGTCCCAGGTCCCCCCAGCTGGTGGAGATGAACACAGTTCTGGGCCCAGTGCTCATCCCCCCTCCCCCTGACACACTCCCCACGCTGCCCTCCCTTCTCCCCCTCGCCTCACCTGGTCAGTGCCCATGCCTCCCTGTTCCTACTTCCGGGAGCTTTTCCTGACCCAAACCCAGTGGCCACACGTGCCTGGCCTTCTGGCATTTGCCACGTCGTTTACCGTGTATAGTGGGTTGAATGGTGTCCCCTCAATTCATGTCCAGCCAGCATCGTAGAACGCGGCCGGCCGTCTTTGGAAAAGGGTCTTTGCAGATATAATTAGATAAGGATCGAGATGCCACCATCCTGGGTTAGGGAGGGCCCTACATCCAATGACAGTGTCCTCAAAAGAGACACAGAAGGACACACAGAGATGATGTGAAGAAAGAGGCAGATATTGGAGTGACGTGTCTACAGGCCAAGGGACACCGAGGACGGCCAGCAGCCACCAGAAGCTGGGAAAGCGGCCTGGGGCGGTTTCTCCCTCACAGCCCCCAGAGGAACCAGCCCTGCCGACACCTTGATTTTGGATTTCCAGCCTCTGGAACTGAAAGAGGGTAAACATATGTTGTCCTGAGCCACCCAGTTCGTGGCACGCTGTTACAGCGGCCCCAGGAACCTAAACCTCCTCGTCTGGGGTTATTTCTCCGTCTCCGCCTCTCTCCCCAGACAGCCCCTGACGGCCACGTCTCTGCGTCACCATCACAGCCCGCGCCTGGCATACAGCAGGTGCTCAGCGTGTGAGGGTGGCAGTGATCCAAGGCCCAGACGGATGCCCTGAACCCCTGTCTGCTTTCTGCATCTCTCTGCATCTCTGGGAATGAGTCAAAGTTCGCAGCCCTTGAGTGACACGACCACACAGACTGGAGTAAGAGTTTTGAGGCAAAAAGATTCTGTTTGGCATCTTGTTAGTATCTCTGTGATGATCCGCCTTTCCGTCCACTGAAACCGGGGTCAGTTGGAGCTCCGTTTGGTTGGGCACCGTTCGTTGGGCTGTGTTCTGGCTGATGTGTCATTTGTTCTGGACCCTCAGGAACACAGCTTGGGAGGTGCAGCCCCAAGGTTCCTGTCACGTGACCCTTCCACGTTTCCTGCATCTGAAACTCTGGGTCCCCAGGCCTGTGGGTCAGCTCCTCTGACTTCCACCCATCCCTCAGGGGCACGGAGCTCCAGAGCACTCACCAGCCATGTCGCCAGCTAATCTGGGGACCGGACTAGAAGCAGAGGGGACAGCAGGTGGCTACGAGCTTTAGGCTTCGGCCTGGATCCCTCACAGCTGAGACTACATTTGGGAGCGTTTATTTTCTCCACTGTCCCCCTCACTTTTGGGGAAATGTTTGCCTCATGTGAATGCTAGGTGGCAGTGGAGGGGGAGAGAGGCCCCTCAGCTGGGCTTTCCTGGGCCCCAAGAGGACGGTGCACAAGCTTAGCCCCACTGGGCTCTTTCTTGTCTGAGAGACACAGTGGACCAGCCCCAGGCTTCGTCCCCGCTCTGTCCCCCAGAGTCCAGGGCATCCCTGCCCCCACTTCCCTCCCAGACTTGCTTTGCTGGGTCTGCTTGGTGCTCAGTATATTTTAAGGCTGGTCGCCAACATGTTTAGCATAGTAAAGTGTGTTCAAGTATTAGATAGTAATATGTATAAAGGCACAGGAAATGTTTACCTTTAATCCACGTTATTTCTGGCTTCTCTTGCCAAGTCCTCATATCTGGCAGCCCTGAGTCACAGCGGCCCCGTTAAGACGGACGGACGGTGCTCCTCTGTTGGCCGCAGTCCCCGCCCCTCCCTTTGGCAGGGATTGCAGGAGGCCCTTGTCTTCCCTGTGTTTCAGCTGCCCGGGCCCTGGAGGCCTGTGAGTTAGCCTCGGGGCGGGCTTCCGCTGCCCGGGCCCAGCTGGGCGATGGCTCCCTGTATGGAGGCCCCGTGGCCTCTGCCAGCCACACCTGGAGCCACGCTGCCAGGTCCATCCCAGCCCCGTCACCTGCTGCAGGTGCACGGCCTGGAATTGGCTTCTGAACCTCAGCTTCCTCATCTGAAAAATGAGTGACACACGGTCCCCTGGGCAGGACACGTGCTCAGCTGAGCAGCACTCGTTAGGTGTGTCCATGATGGACAGCGGTGCCCCGGTCCCGAGGGAGCCCAGGCTGATGACACCGGCGGGTCGCCTGGCCAGGGGCCTGCATCCTCTGCCCCACGGCTCATGTCTCAGCAACGCTCTTCCTCCCTGTCCCTGCAGACTCACGCTCTTGTGGGTTCCTCTCGCCCCCCAGGCCAGGCTGCGCTCTTCCAAGGCTCTGGCGGGAAGAACACTGACCCTCCCCTCCGAGGACAGCTTTCCACGCCCACGGGGTCTCCACATCTCACCACCGTCCACCGGCCGCTGCCGCCCAGCCGCGTCATCGAGGAGCTGCACAGGGCGCTGGCCACCAAGCACCGCCAGGACAGGTGAGGCCCCTGCCCTCCCAGAGGAGAGCTGGGTGCCCGCACTCCAGCCGGGCCAGCCTCCTGGGGTACACTGTGCAGTCACCTGGGGTGAGGAGGGGGCTGGGCACAACGCTCTGCCGTCACTGTCCTGAAATTCTTAATCATTTTTGAACAAGGGGCCCTGCATTTGCGTTTCACACCGGGTTCTGCAGGTTGTCGTGGTGCCACATCCTGTGAGGGGACAGGGTGGGGTGTGTGTGCCATGGATCTCAGAGGATCCCGGTTGGGGCGGGGAGGCGCTCGTGAGAGAGACTCGCGAGGGAGGAAGCCTCAGAGTTTTCACCAGAGAAGACAGACACACGCTTGTCCCTGAGGCTCACCCTCGTCTTCTCAGTCTGTGCTTCCTGGAGTGTAAGGCAGCCAGTTGTTGGAGGGCAAAGCAGGTGACGGGACACATGTAGGGTTCGGCGGAAACGCCAGATCAAGTGGCCTTCTTGGGTCCTGGAAGTCCTTGGTCTGGGCAGTTGCTGCACTCAGCTTGGGTGAGTTTTATTACACACGTGCCCGCTCTTCAGAACAGCACGTTCTCCGCGCCATGGGGCTTGGACTCAGCCGTGTGTGCTGGTGGCGCTTCTTGTCCTGTGTGCTTGGGACAGAAGCCGAGAAGCCGTGCGTATGGGGGGCCGCCTCTGCAGCGTCCGTCATCGGCCCCTCACTGGGTTTCGCTGGGCGTCCAGGTGACGGGGACAGCGTGTCACTCGGGTTACCTTTCTGTTTCAGTTTTCAAGGGAGGGACAGTAAAGGGTCCCCGAAGAAGCGCATGGACGTCCGCCTGTCGAGAACGTCCAGCGTGGAGCGGGGCAGGGAGCGCGAGGAGGCCTGGAGCTTTGACGGGGCCTCGGGGGGCAGGCGGACTGCGGCCAGCGAGTCGGAGGAGAACAAGGAGAACGTGCTCTTGAGCTCCGAGCTCAAGGACGACCTGCTTCTGTACCAGGACGAGGAGGCCCTGAACGACTCCATCATCTCCGGTGAGCGTGGCGGGCGGGCGGCTGCCGAGGGGACCCTCCCAGGAGGTCCCGCCTCTGGGCGAGGGCTCGGAGCCTGCGTGTTTGGGGTGGCGCCCCTGCCCCCAGCATGGAGGCGGGACAGCAATGGAGGGCAACTCACCTCTGCAGACGGGCTCGGGGCGCCGAGTGGCAGGCACTGGGAGACCTTGCTTCATTTTGAAAATTGCACGTTCACTTTCCTGTGTTTGAAACCATGCAAACGTGGCTCCACAAGTAACTTTGAGAGTGTCGCTACTTTGGATGACATGGCAGAAAGGAGGACACGTGGTCCTCCGGTGTCCGGTGTTTGGAACGTGTGGCTGAGAATGCCAGCGGGACAGTGAGAGCTGGGGTTAGGGGAGGGTTCCATCGGAAGTGGTACAAACGCTTGTTTGGGGCCAGACGTCACAAGGCCCTTGGAAGCCCAGCTTCGTATCCGTCCTCACAACATGTTCTCAAGGTCACAGTCTGCCCTACCCTTGAGGACTCAGGGACTCGGGGAGCCAGAGCATCTTAGCCCCTTGACGAAGGGAACGGGGGTGCAGGCCAGGGGCAGGGAAAGCAGGCGTTCACTGTGTGGCCGTGGCAGGCTGTGCTGAGTGGCACTGTCACTCATGGGAGGGTCCCGGGTGGACGCTGTAGGGAGGGGTCCTGTTATTGAATGAGGGGCTGTTGTTCTTCTGGAGGCATCTCCTGGTGACTCACCGCCCTGGGCAGAGCGTGGACCTTTTGCAGCCGGGCCAGCCCACCTGCCTCTGATGGGACCTGCCATAGGACAGGGCTGGCCCCCGGCCCCTGTGGCCCTGGGCTGGTCCCCATGCCTCCCCTCCATTGCCTCCCTGATCAGATCAAACACACTCGTCCACAACACAGTGAATGTCCTTCGTAGCATGGGCACAGTTGCAATTTCACACTCATTTTTGTCATCATCTGACTGTCTTCTGTCTGCCCACTAATGTATCAATTATCCAATTGTTATACTTTATCTAATTTATGTGTTGGATGGTTATCCGCATAAGGGACAGTGCCAGCATGTTTGGCGCCGTGGTGCCCCCTCGTCCCCACAGAGCCTGGTTCTAAGTTACCGTCACAAATGGCTTTAAATGTTGCCCGTGATGCCGATGGGTCCCCACTCAGTCCTCCAGCCCAGGACACCGAGCACCAGGTGTCCCTCCTCTCTGCTGACTCGGCACCTCCCCCTGAGGGCTCCTGGGGGTGGCTGAGCGGATGTCTCCAGGTCTGAGCTCTTGACCACAGCTCCAAACCCGGACTGTGCCCCAGCCCTGTAAGCAGGGCCTCTGACCTTCCCGTGGTCACTTTCATGCTGTCTTGACTTTGTACCTGGCGTGCAGGTGGCCATACAGGGGAATAAAGGAGGCTGTGCCTGTAATGCATGAGTAGTGACAGCGCAGGGTTCCACATCCTGGCCAGGCCGTCATGTGGGAGATGAGCCATTTCTTTCTTCCTCCGTGGTTTCTCCCGGGGTGTGGGCCAAACCTGAGCCTCTTGTGACTTGACTCTTAAAACATGGTGCCCGTAACTGACCGTGGGGTTTGGTCACACTGTGGTAGGAAGGGTAGAACCCAGCCTGGAAACTCGGCATTGGATATCATGCCCTGCTCGTGTCCATGCTGTGCTTGGGGACGCTGTACTTGCTGTATTTGCAAACCCCAAGCAAAGCCTCCTCTCTTCCCGGGGCCTTTTGTGGGCACGTGTTTGGGGCTCAAGGTCAAAGCCTCACCCTCAGCCCTGAGAACACCCCATTGCCCACAGTCAGACTGATCTGGAGAGCTCTGCCATCTGCACGCTGAGCCACTGGGTGCTAGTCCCGCGCCCATAATCCGGGGTCCCCGAACCCCTGCAATCGAGTACAGAAAGCAAGTCCTTTGCTTCTCTCACATGCTCAGATGCGTCCGTATCTCCTGCACAGTTATGAATCTCTGAGATAAAATGATTGGAGGAAAAAATTCAATATTGGTTACAGAAAGAGTCCATAAATAAAATGTTGCTTTGGTGAGAAGTGCTCACAGCAGGAAAGACCCGTAACGGTGTTCTGCCTGGCCCAGCAGGACACGCGGATAGACAGAATGATATTGGCTTCTCTCGAGTTCAAACCCTGTTTCCTCTTGTCACGGCTGGTTCGTTATTTGTGGATCTCTGTGGTGCTGAAGCAGGAAAGTGCCAGGCAGTAGATTCATCCATTATTAATCATAAGAGCTGCAATGCTGCTTATTTATTTACCCGCCTAACGGACTGTGACGGAGCCTCTGCAGGCCTGGGCTCGTCCCATGTGACCATTCCGAGGAAACTTTTGTTATCAAGCATCTTGTCAACCGGAATTCTCTGTTTGTCGGCAGCACACGTGTCCACATTAGAATTTAATTTCTGGGGCTGCTGGTGGCACCATCCGAGCAGTCCTGTCTCGTGTATCAGCTGGACGGGCATCCTGCTCGACCCAGTTGCGGTGAAAACTCATTTGAGTGAGTCTCACAGTTGGATTTCCATGCGGGGCAAGTGTGACATCATGATGGATGCAGGAAAGTGCGTTACGGGCCGCATACCTAGGCCTCGTGCTAGGCGACACCGCTGGCAGTGTGTAAATGCTCCCACCTTATGCACCTTTATGTGCATGTGCGTTGGGCTCCAGGTAAAAGCAGGACATGGGGGCATTCTCAAATCCATCGAAAGCGATTTTTTAAGATTTTGTTTTTTTTAGAGCAGTTTTAGGTTCACAGCAAAATGAAGAGAAAGATGCAGAGATTTCCCATATTCCCCCTGCCCCCCAACACCTGTACAGCCTCCCCCCGTTATCAACATCCCCATCAGATAGTGCATTTGTTACAACGGATGAACCTATGTTGGCATGTCATCATCATCCAGTCTGCAGGTGACATTAAGATCACTCTCGGTGTTGTACCGTCTATGAGTTTTGACAAAGGTATAATGACATGTACCCACCATTACAGTGTCACACACAATTCACTGCCCTGAAAGTCCCCTGTGCCCCCCTGTCCATCCCTCCCTCCCCTGCCCCTTGGAACCCACTGGTCTTCGCTGTCTCCTTGGGTTTGTCTTTTCCAGAAGGTCATGTAGTTGGAATCACACAGCGTGTAGCCTTTTCAGATTCGCTCCCCTCACTTAGTCATGTGCATTTAAGGTTCCTCCATGTCTCTTCATGGCCTGACGGCTCATTTCTTGTTAGCGCTGAGTAATAGTCCACTGTCTGGATGGACAGTTTGTTTATCCATCACCCACTGGAGGACATCCTGGCGGCTTCCAAGTTCTGGCGATTATGAATAAAGCTGCTGTAAACGTCCGTGTGCAGGTTTCGTGTGGACAAGCTTTCAGCTCCTTTGGGTAAATACCAAGGAGCGTGATTGCTGGATCCTAGGAGTATGTTTAGTTCTGTAAGCAACCACCAAACTGCCCTCCAAAGCGGCTGCACCGTTTGCCTTCCCCACAGCGACTGAGAGTTCCTGTGGCTCCACGTCCCCGCCAGCATGTGGTGTCGGCGCTCTGGGTGTTGGCCGTCCTGACAGGGGTGCAGGGTGTCTCGTTGCCTTAATTTGCATTTCCCTGAGGACGAGATGGGGAGCGTTTTCTCACGTGCTTATTTGCCATCTGTGTATCTTCTTGGGTGAGGTCTGTTCAGGTCTTTGGCCCATTTTTTAATTGGGTTGTTTGTTTTTTTTAATTGCTGAGTTTTAAAAGTTTTTATACATTGTGGATAATAGTCTTTTATCAGATGTTTCTTTTGCAAATATGTTCTCCCCATCTATCATTTGTCTTATTCTCTTGCCATTGTCTTTTGCCCAACAGATGTTTTCAATTTTAATGAAGTTCAGCTTATCAATTATTTCTTTCATGGATCGTGCTTTGGGCAATGTCTCACCATACTTAAGGTCATCTAGATTTTCTTCCTGTTATATCCTAGAGATTTTATAGTTTCTAATTTTACATTTAGGTCTGTGATGCATTTTGCGAAGGGTATAAGGTCTGTGTCCAGATTCTTTTTTTTTTTGCATGTGGATGCCCAGTTCTAGCTAATTTGCTAATTAAAATTTAACTTAAATTTTTAATTAAATATTAAATTTAAATTAAAATTTTAATTGAATATTTAAATAAAAGTTTGTTTAATAGTTTAAATATCTGTTGCCAATATTTTGTGGAGGATTTTTACATCTGTGTTCATTTGAGAGGTGAGAGGCCTGTGGTTTTCTTTTCTTGTAATGTCTTTGCCTGGTTTCGGCATCAGGGTCATGCTGGCCTCATAGAAAGGGTTAGCATTCTTTCCTCTGCAAGAGATTATACGGAATTGGTATCATTTCTTCCTTAAAAATTTGGTAGAATTCACCAGTGAACCTACCTGGGCCTGTTGCTTTCTGTTTGGAAGGTTATTCATTATGGATTCAATTTCTTTAATAGATGAAAGCCTGTTCAGGTCATCTGTTCCTTCTAGTGTGATTTTTGGCAGGTTGTGTCTTTCAGGGAATCGGTCCATTGCATCTTGGTTATCAAGTTTGTGGGCATAGAGTTGTCGGTGTATTCCTCTATTCTTTCAATGTCCCTGGGATTGCTAGTGTTGCCCCCTCTTTCGTTTTTGATATTGGTAATTCGTGTCCTCTGTTTTCTTCAGCCTGGCTAGAGGCATATCGATTTTATTGATCTTTCCAAAGAGTCACCTTTTGGTTTCCTTGATCTTCTCTGTGGGTTTCCTGATTTGAATATCACTGTACTTCTTCTCTGATTCTTATTATTTCTTCTACTTACTTTGGATTGGATTTTCTCTTTTTCTAGTTTTCTAAATTGATAATTTAGATGATTGGTTTTAGCTCTTTCTCCTTTTCTGATAAATGCATCAGTGCTGTGAATTCCCCTCTAAGCTCTGCTTTCACTGCATCCCACAAATTTTGATAAGTTGTGTTTTCAATTTCATTGAGTTCAAAATATTTTTAAATTTCTCTTGAGATTTCCTCTTTGAC